ATATATATATATAAATATATATATATAAAAGTTTGTCTAGATGTCAGAATAAAGAGTGGACTAGCCCTTTACCGCTCTGCTAAATTTGAAGCAGTTTCCGATTTTTGAAACATAAGAATCTTTATTGGGAAGGTGTCTTATACTCAAATATTCATAATTCTAGAAAAAAAAATCCCATAAAAATCTAGAAGGTCATTGTGAAATGTTTGGAGCTTGGAATTGGAAAACGTGTTGGAGCTTCCCTGTTGTGTTTTTGACTTGAGGGAAACAGTGCAAAATACATATTATACAAATATGAACGAGGAGTGAATGAAAGAGATCCAGAATAAACCGGATCATTTCATGTTCCTCCTGTCAGCTGTCGGCAAAATCCCTTTGCTCCGTTTTCAGTTCCGGTGGAACGGCTGCCCGTCCTCCTGATAGCCAACTCCCAGAACATCCAGGCCACCTCCCTGAGCGGCTCCACGGTCCACAGCCTGCTGTCCACCAGCACCAAGCAAACCACAGCCATGGACTTTGTCTATGCCAAGGAGACAGTCTGCTGGATCCACGTGGGAGACTCCCCCTCATCCACACACCTCAAATGCGCCTCAATCCCGAACCTGAAGAGCTTCGCCGAGGAAAAAGTCATCAACATCTCTTTCAGCCTCCACCGTAAGTACTGCTTATATTAATAACTTGAAATTGATCTTTTATACAACCAAGCGAACAAAAGCAAATCGTCAGGCTCCTCTAAACCCTTTTCTTCATACAAGCAAAGCAAACATTCACAGCTGTAGACGCCGATCAGCAGAAACACGATGTAGCTATAGTTCTTATCATACATGGAAGGCCTTTAGCCATTCTTTTCTCTGTGTTGATTGATTATACAAAATACAACTTTAATGGGTTTAAAATCAATAAGGATTTCCGATCCACACAGGTTCAAATATTTACATACCCTCAAACTCATATCAAACATCAGGAAGTGATGCTTCAGTGGCGTGCTTTTTGCAGTCATGAGTAAATATCTGTCCTTTGTCCTGTTGAAACTTGTAGTCATTTAGTTTAACCAGGCAGCACTGCAACCTCAGATCATAACTCTGCCACCGTCGTGCTCGACATTCACTGGCGCGTGCCTTCGTTTCGAAGCATCAACCCGACTCTAAACTTTTCTTTGTCCGCTTTGGCTGAAGATCTCTGTTTTTGTCTCATACGACTAGTACGCTGTCTTCCAGAAAACATTTTTTCTGATTGCACAGCTGCCGCTTTCAGCTGAGCTCGTAGGTGGACGTTTTGCAGTGGCTGCTTTGTTCTGGTCATCACCGTCTCACTGCATTGATAACATGAAACCCACCTGAATCCGGACTCATGGTATTCCAGCAGTTTCCAGTCTAGCCTAGTCTAGTCTTTTCCAGAAAGACATGATCATATTTTATCCGACAGGGTCAGATTAGGTTGGATGGTTGATATTTGGGTACAATTCGACAATTATCCTGAACACACCTAAAAACAAAAAAATAGACTGCTTGAAAGTCAGGTCAGTGGAAGGAAACCAGCCAGTTTAGGTAAGTTTAAATATCCATGGCAGAGTAATGCCTGGACTTTCCACGTACAGAAAGTCTGCTTTCACTACAAAGTGAAATGAAACCACACCTTTAGTTTGTTCAAGAGTTAAATAAGTTTTGAAAAAAAAGAAAGCATACCAAAATGTCACTAAAGTAGAGCTGAGCGTAAAACCTCTCAGTGAATAGACACCCTGAGACCTTCTGCTGCCCCGTCTGCAACCTGCGAATCATAAATATTATGACAGCACATTAAAAGCAGCTGTTCTTTTCCACAGCTTAAGTTTCGCTTCACAAAAACACGGGTGAGCCTTTTCTCCCATTTGCAAAGAAGAAACTTCTAGAAAAGACAAAGAGATCTGAGGGGCCGGACCGAATGCAGGCGTGTGCTCTCACATGTTTGTAGCTGCGCTGCGTGCAGGTCACACAAAAACACACACGCCCACATCCCAATCCCCTTCCTAGCCTTTATCATGACTCTGCTGCTCCAGCCAGGTGCTCTTTGTCATGTTGACGCTCGGCTGCTGCGGCCGGCTTGTCTTCAGCAAGTCGACAAAGAAGCTGTGAATGGAGCGAGCTTATCACGAAAAGCCTTTAAGGAGTCATCGGGGTTTGATGCTTTAAGACGTGGCTCGCAGAAAGTTATCGGTCCTGTTTATCTGCAAACACAAATCCGTAGTAATGAACATTAAACGTTACTCTCAACTCTATTGTCTGCTCCTGGTTTTCCCTGTAATCCCCTAATCCTCTCAGTATAGTCTGCATAAGAGAGAAGGTTAAGGAAGTTTAATAAAAAGCGATTCCCGGTGAGACCCCATTGTCAGACACAGAGCACGGGTTTAGTCTGGATGAATGGACGGAGGAGAGGCGGAGGAGGATGTCTGATGTTGGTTTGTGTGGAAACGGCACTATGGAGAGAAACTGTTAGCATGTGCTTGAAGCTAAAAGCTTTGAGCTGGTTTGCAGGAAAAAAACTTAAAAAAAACGAAAAGTCTTGGAATACACCTGGCTGAACTTTGAGCATGCTCCATTTCTGATTTTTACACCTCATTTCAAGAGCAATTGCAAGTTCATAATGCTAATTTGGGAGCTACTGAAATAGGATTTTCGTTTTTCCTAATAGTACATCTGGGGAATAAATTTAGTTGCAGCTGCAAGGAAAATATCAAATGCTTTTATTGCAGCTGCAACTCTATTAACACTAAGAATTAGAAAATACTGAACTATAAACATGGCTTTATGTCACTGCCTTCTCTCCATCCTTCTTTTTGCCTGTTTTTCTTCGGGCCGTTCGTTTCCTTCCTTTTTTCTGTTCTCACTTGTGTTCTTATTTCTGTCCGTCCTTGTCTCCATTTTTTCTTGTCTTTCCATATGTGCTTATTTTCATCCTTCTTCTTTTATCATTTATCTCCTTCCCTTTCTCCCCTTTTACTTCATTTTGTCTTTCTTTCTTTTCTTCGGTTTTGGCCAATGCCAGCTTTCCCTCCTCCCATTTCTGTCATTCCCTACTTTTCTGTGGTGTTCACTGCTTTCTCTCCTTTTGTCCATCTTTCTTTTCTTTCATCCTTCTTTTTGTCCATCCTTCTTTCCTCCTTCTGTCCTCCCTTCAGACATATCTGTATTTGGTTTTTGCAGCTTCCTGTGACTAGCATGTAGCCTCATTAGCTAACACCAAGCTAACCCTACCGGCTTTTCCTAACTGGAACGTAGTTTAACTGGATGGGAGCCTTCATACTGCAGGTTTGGCTCCTGCTGTCCAAGGCAAATGGAACTGGGTGTTATTTATTCATGAGAAGTGTTTCCATGCTGAGCTTTTTTTTTTTTTTTGCTTTAATTGTGTAACTGATTTTTTTTTTTCTTCTTTTTATCAAATCCCTCCAACAACATCAGACTCTCTCCCGGAGAATAAAATCAATGTCAAGAGATTACACTGATCCAAACCTAATTGTTCAAAATTAAAACAACAAAACTGCTATTGTTGTTACGAGTTTATTTTTTCTTTTGTTTTCATTCAAAACACTCCCTCGCTAATCATTTCTGTGCTCAAGGCTGAATCCCAAATAGTTTCCCGCTTGCTGCAGAAAATTTGACTGGGAGAGAAAATCCTGAATGATGAAAGCTCACAAATATACGTCAGCTTATTTAAAACATATTGGAACTGATTGCACATTTTCCCGTCTTGTCCACGGTCTTCCTGTTTCTTTGAGACAATAATTGCAAACCAAGCAGACCTGCAGAGACTTGTCTCTGCTCGCCTGCCCTCTCCGTGTGGCTACAGATTCAACACGACAGGTTTGACTTACTCGGTAGGTCAGCAGTGAAATGAAAAGTCCAAATGATGGCAGATTTGTTTTCCACTTGCTTGCGCCTTGTCATTTGGAAGCACAGTTTGTTTCTTTCATCGTGAATAATATCAGACAAGCGCAGACTGGGGAAAAAACTGTGTTGCACAAGGAGGTTAAAGCACAACACATTTGGCGTTCATAAATAAATCCCCCCCTAATCGTCCTGGGCTGCCTCAAAAATATAGCATCCAGATTTTGCTGAGTTTAATTATTGCATTGTAGTTGTAGATAAAAGTCAGCAGCTGCTGCTGTGATCCAGCTGCTCTCTCTGAAGATTTGACTGCTTACAAGTGATGAATCAAATTAAGAGGGAGTAAAATTTGCGGGAAATTCCTTCGGCTACATCTGGATTCTCCTCGCCTGTCCTCCAAACACACTGACGCCCCGAGAGCCCACACGGACAAAATGCAAGAAGCGTTGAGGAGCGAGGAGAGGATGTTCACAACAGGCGGTGAGAGGAAGTAATAGATAGACATCGAAACTGCTGCATCTGAGAGAGAATAAAGTATCTATATTTAATATTCCTGTTTGAATGAATTGAATAATAAGGCATCGATCCAATGAGAGCAAGTGTTACATAAGGGTAAGATAGTTGACGTTTGAAGTTTTATATTTAGGATTGCTGAGACAAGTGACGTGCAACCAGACGCTCTGTAAAAAAAAAAAAAAGTGTGAAAAATATGCAATATGAATTTTCTCATCTTCTTCAATAATGTGAAATGAGTCCCCAGGCTGAAGAGTTAATCTTTCCTGCTCATGCAGAGTGTAAGTGAGAAGGAGGAGGAGGAGCAGGTTTATGCTCACAGTCAGCGAGGATCCAGCAGGAACCAATGGCAGGGTTGAACATTGCAGGAAGTTATGCACATGTGGTTGGAGTGAGTCAAGACCTCAGTATGCCACAGATGAGCAGTCCAGATGTTTACCCTCCCCCTCTCCGCGTCCTTCCTGCTTGTCTTTCATAGCGATTACTTTTACTGTATTTTGTCAAACCCTTCATCGTTGATGGTTAGGCTTTTACGTAACGAGCAAACATAAACTCGTGGGCCATATTTAAGTGTTTTCTGCCATTTCTGACGTTTTTGTACACATCGGTGTGAAACACTGAAACATTAAATAATAGCAGCATAAGCTTCTAATCTGAGTTCCTATTTTCAGTTGTATAAATCTGTTTGCGTTTTGATTTTTGAAATTCTCATGCCAGAAAATTAGCTATGAGACATGAACAAGAAAACTCATGTGGTGCTTAACACAAAATGGGACCAAACATGGGGACTGTGGCCCTTGGCACCATCCATACAGCATGACAATTAGTTGTAGAAGTATTACATTTTGCACATTGAAATAGTAAACATTAATTGGGATTTATTGTAACAAACAAGCAAGTCAGATGCGTGATTGCTTAGAGTAAAGGAAGATGCATTGTGGGTTTTTGTTTAGCCTCCTTTACTCTAATACCCCTAAATTAAATTCAGTACAGCCTGTTCCCTTCAGATGCCACAGATTTGGTAATGGAGCTCAAATGTGTGAAGTGTAGCTTCAGTGTAAATCTCGCTGTTCATTGAGGATGAGAACAAATAACTTATTAACTTGTCTGCAAAAATAATGTGTGGAGGACAACTTTCATTGTAAAAACTGGCAGCAGAATCATGCTGAGGAAATGTTTTTTCCCCCAGAAGGTCAGAGTTAATAGAAATATAATGTAAGGTCATCCACAGTGAAGGCTGTTAAAGCAGCGGTCATCAAACTTTCTGCCACGTAAAAAAAATATGAAAATGTAAAGCATTTAAAAGTACAATCTGTCCATTAATTTGGGCTCCAAAGCAAATCACCTCGCACAGTTTGATAATCCATCCTGCACTATTTTGTCTGTTTCATAGGTACTAAATAAACGTTTTAGTCTGTTGCTGAATTACACCGTCTGAGGTTCATAGTCACTAAAAAGTGAGCGGTTTTGGGTACATGGAGGCTGATCTCCGAGCTGTCACTAAGTCCTCTCTCCCTGCTTGTACTGCAGAGCTACAGTACAGCTGCTGCTCTTGCTTCGGCCTGACACTGGTCTAAAATCTCCTTATGAGGTTATGGGAACTCAAAAGGCCAGCCAGTCAGCGCAATTTCTAAATCATCTTTTCCCTCCGACTCTTCGGTCAGCTTTAAGCTTTCTATCCTTGCCTACTTTCCCTATTTTTATAAATTTTTTTTACTCAGCAGTTTGCTCTACACCATCAAATCTCCCCTCCAGTTTAGTGGGGGTCGGTATCACAGAAACATTAGCTTCAATAAAAAGGATTTGACTAGCTCCACTTCTTTTGCATTTCGATTTAGGCTGAGTAAAAAGAAAAAAAAAAAAAGAAAGAAAGGGCGGGGGGCAGAGTGTTTTTTTCTTTTTCTCTTTTCCTTTTAAACGAGACAGAACAGAGAGGACGAAAACACAGAAAAGGATCTGTTTTCCGAGAAGACGACTGACTAGGTGAAGAAAGCAGCTGGTTCTGTTTTTTTAATTACGCCATGCTTTCTTTATAGCATAGTTTCAGACAGACAGAGCTGCACTTAATGAATCCAGACCCTATTCCCGCCTCTGGGGAGACGGCGAAGGGGAGGGATGATGCAGCGAGGACGAGAGGCAACAGAAAAGTTTCCTGATTCGCTGCCATTTTTGTTCACAAACAGAGCAGAAGAGGCGACCTGTGTGCAAAGGAGCCCGTATATTTCGAGTGCAATTTTCTAATATTTCACATTCGCCCCTTTTCCTCTCCCTTGCATTAGTTTTCGTTACGTAATCAGTGAGAGTGATCTGCCGAGCACCTGGAATGACTTAAACTGAAATAACTCAGAGCTGCTTTGCAATCAGTTCCCAGATTCCCATAAACCTCAGAAATTTTGTTGCTGCGTAGCCAAGTTTCCAAAGTTGAGATACGATTCCCCCCCATCTCCCCACTGTTTTCTGTTTTTTTTTTTTTTTTACATTTTCACCAGTTTTTTTTTGTTGTTATCTTGCTACTTTTTGTCTTAAGGTAACTTTAATTTAACCCAGAATATTGGAAGATATTCATGTTTCTCAAGCTGCACAGAAAAAAATAAATAAATAAAAAAAAGTGTGAGTTTTTTGTAAAGTCCAGAATTCTCAACCGGATGTTCTCAGTTTTATTGGTCTTTAATGTCCAGTTTTATTCGGACTGTTGCACTGAGAAATGTGCTCCATCATTCCCTGTGTTTAGAAACATAATGTGTTCCTCCCCTGGTCGGAGGAATGGATTCTCTGGTCTCCACTGAAACACCGCAGGACTGGATCGCGCTGGAAAACAAACCACCGCGTTGGATCGGCGTCTTCACCACGGAGCTTTGCGCAAACACAAGAGTCTGAAGACTACGAATGCGACTCTGACGTTTGTGTGTCAGAAAGGCTCTGTGGAGAGCTGAGCTGGCAGCAGCTGTGAAAATACAAGTCCTTGTGGCTTGTGAAGCCCTCCTCCCAACATTTTTCTTGCACCTCATCTAAATTCTTTACTGTATGCAAAAGTATAGGTTTCGCAAACTGGGGATTTTTGATATGGGCCGTGCGGGCAGTCGCCCAGGAAGGCACAAGAAAGGAGCGCATGAGTACCAGATTTAAAAAAAATATACAGTTATTTGCAAGTTTTATTTATGTACTTGAAGTAGGTGGGGAGTTGGTATCCCTGTGTGTTATCGTCCTTCATCCTCGAAAAGCTGGTCTCCAAGAAAAAAAAAAGAAAAAAAACAGTGACAAACCGAGAAGCTGAGATTGTAAATGTTTCATTATGTTTTAAACTGAATTTAGCAATAAAAATATCGGTCAAATTTGAAAGTACTTTGGTATTCATAGCAGTGAAGGGAATGCAAGAAACTGCAGGTGTTGAGCAACCACTTGGGGGTTGCTGGGGGAGATTGCTGATCTTAATCCAATCTTGTATCTAAATAAACTTAATGTCCATGGAAATCCCACAAGCGGGACTCCTGAGATATTATCCATACATATAATGTTTGGTCTGACTGGTGTAGATTTGACTGATGTTGGAACGAATGAGGGCAGCCACATGCATCAAGAAGCTTCTGATTGCCCAAGAAAGACTCTTCCAAAGCTCCAGAGGAGGACTGATGTTGTGCGCAAAGTGTTATAAAATGATGCCTTTACCTTCCATCCAGTAATAGGTGTAGGATTCCTACTGATGGAAGCACTGGGCTTGGATAACTGGCAACCAGGTAGTGAAAGTGAAAGTGACTTCAGGTCTCGGGATGGAGATTCAGAGAACAGAAGCAGCACTTTGTTGTTGACGTTCTCCATCTCTTTCGTCAACTCCTGTTTGCACATGACACTTGCGTCCATGAATGGCCAGAGTTACGAAGAGGTCTCCTGATCTCTCCTCTGTGGAACATGAGTGAGATCGGGCCGAATGCGAACTCTGACCCAGAGACGATGCCCTGGATCACAAGGGGCTGCAGGAGAGGAAGCAACGGCTTCATGACTCAGTTCTGTGACCTTTCAAGCAAACGGCTTCATTTGTTTTCCACCACTCCTCCTGGGTGGGTTTTTGTCTGTCTGTTGTTTTGTATGAACAAATGGTTTCATGACGAACACACAGTTGTACATCGATGAGCTTACAGGAAAGAAGGTAACAGGACAAAACGCGCTGTTTTTGTGGTTTTGTTCTTCAGTTAGTATTTAGATCTGTTTCATGGTGAAAACACAGAAAAACCAAAGGAGACCACTGATCACTCTTTCTGCAAGATGCCTAGTCAAAGTTTTATTAACTTAGTTTGATATTAGGCATTATTAAGATTGTTAAGCAGGAATAATAACATATACATCAAACTGTTTACTATCTTAAAGTTTTCAGAATGCAGTGCTGCGAACAAGTTTTTAATTTAGGGATCGCTTTTGCTTCTTGTCATACTTGTTTCTGACGAAGACAACAGGAGCAAATGTGGATGATGAGTTCATTTAATTAAGGAAATAAAATAACTATCTAAAACAAACTGGCACTACGTCAGGTTCAGTATGGACTCTGACGGGGAACTCCAAAACTTTCATTTAGCTCATTTTGAGTCATTCACAAGGGAAGTTGCTGCAGTGCTGCGAAGCTCAGGCTTCTCCTGCAAAACCTTCTGGTAGAAAGCAAGATCCATAGTCCCATCATTTGTGCTAAACCCTGAAGCAAAGAAGTCACAGACCATCACTCCACCACTACTGTGGTCTTTCATGATTTCCTGGATGAGTTCACAATGTGCTTTTGGAGTCATTTTGGTTGGCCAGTGACTCCTGCGAAGATTCACCACTGTTTCATGTTTTCTTCATCAGAGGATCACAACTTTCACTGTGGTTTGCTGGAGTCCCAGTTCCTGAGAGATGGCCTTTATTTTCCCACAGACGTCAGGCTTATCTGTTGTTTTTAGAAATAATGACTCTACATCACCTTGCACCTCCTGTGTCCCCTCATGTCCACTCATCTCTTCTGTTTTTCTATTCCAGATGTGGAACAAATGGCCATTGACTGGCTCACCGGAAACTTCTACTTTGTGGATGACGTGGATGACAGGATCTTTGTGTGTGACAAGCAGGGGCAGACATGCGTCACCCTCCTGGACCAGGAGCTGTACAACCCTAAAGGCATCGCTCTGGACCCCAACATGGGGTCAGTACACATCTAGATATCTCCAGCTCTGTGAACCTCATCCCCGTTGTTTTACATGTGAGGAAAAGTTTGATGAAAACTCAAGTCTGTTAGAGGCGACTGGACTAATGCCATCTTTCTACAACATGATTAGCTCTGAAACATCTTATTAAAAATGAACTGGAAGGGGTAACTGAATACTTGAACGTTGGGTAATTGAGTACAGATGTTTTGTTTGAGCCACGAGTGCCTGACTGCGTAGGTTTTGAGCATAAAAGTATGTTTTCACTCCAACCCTGTTGTTTATAACAAAATGCTCCATCTGCTGTATCAGCAAATGTGTGCATATTTATGTAAGACTGTCAGGTTAAGTTGAGATTTTGGGTTTTCCAGGAAAGATGAGTTCCTATGAGTCAGTGTTGTTTGTGAACGTGCAAAAGAGAATTTTGGGAAGTTGCGTAAAAGCTGGCAATTATTTATTATTGCTTATTTGGTGAGGTTTTTTTTTTTTTTTTGTAGTTATGCAACACAGAAATGTTGTTTATTAGCACATTTTCAGCATCTGTGTGAGCAAGAACTTGTAAATCAAGTCAAAGATTTGACTGCACAGATATATTTTTATACACTCTTAAGGATTATGAATGTCATATTTAATTTGAAACTTTAAACATCATACATCTGCAACAAATAAAAAAGATGGTGGAACAATGATAAAATAATGTTGACATCCAAGTTTAGATTTGAGTTGTAGATTTATAGAAGTTGGAAAAGTCACTTTTTAAAAATTCAGAATCAAATATGAGTACCAGAGTACCAATTATTCTTATGTGTTGCTACTTTGCATAGAAGATTATCTAAAACAAAAACATGTCACAATGTCCTGTCCAAGAAAATGATCCAAGAATATCATAAACTGGAGACTTTCTTATGGTAATAAAATGAATTTATATCTTATGTCAATATTGATATTCCAGACTGCAAAAATTTTGATCTGCCCAACTGAGTGAGCAAAGACAAAGTTTTTGGACCACAGTGTCATAAAGCAAGGGGAGGCTTTGAAAACCCCAAGGAAACTGGACAAGTGGACAAGTACGGTGGTGGCAGCATCATCCTGTGTCTTGCATTTAGTGCTACTGATGAAGAGCTTCAACTGTAATTTGATCACATAAAGGCTAGTGCTTCAAACTATCGGGCATCTCAACAGGACAGCTACTACAAACATAGATAAAAACTGGTTTTGTAATAGATGCAACTTGTAGATCTTAATTTTCTAGAGTGGCACTGACCTCCACTCTGGACTTTAAAAGCAGGTTGGTGCTGGGGAACCAATTCAACTCCACTGATTCAGACAAGAAAACTGGTTCACTCTCCAGACAGAGTCAGTCCAGAAACTAAACGACGATTATAAAACAGTGAGTGATTGAGGTGCATTTAACAAAATATGATGTGTGCATATATTTCAGCTTGTGTGCATAACTATGATCCTGTCAGAGTTCGAGGGGGGGAAAAAAATCACTGAAGTTGTTGCAGAATAATTCTACCTTTAAAAGAGAGTAGTGGAAATAAACAATTAAAGACCTCACATATCATAATAATAAAAGCTCCCACCAGATTACAGACTTGCTAGGATTCAGATCAGAATCATAATAACAAATCTGACAATTTTATTGGAATGAACACCCAGTTAAATAACTCGTATATACTTCAAAAGTACAGCTGTCTGTTTCCTTTTGTATGTTTCTCTTTTGCACGTGCAGTACAGCCACGTCGATATCGTATTTTCAGCGTCCGTCTCTCTGTACGTCTTTCTGTCCTCGCTCAGCCTGTGACGGTTTTGTTTCTGCAGGAAGGTGTTCTTCACAGATTACGGTCAGATCCCCAAAGTGGAGCGCTGCGACATGGACGGCCAGAACCGCACCAAGCTCGTCGACAGCAAGATCGTGTTCCCCCACGGCATCACGCTGGACCTCGTCAGCAGGCTGGTGTACTGGGCTGACGCCTACCTGGACTACATCGAGGTGGTGGACTACGAGGGCAAGAACAGGCACACCATCATCCAGGGGCTGCTGGTGAGACCAGGAGATTGTCGCTCTTGAATGTTTGCATTTGCGATTCATTATGAGCTTTAAAAAAAAAAACCATCCAGCATCTCTTAGAGTTTCCCATATGTCTTTAATACTTCAAATATTACCCCTGCGCACTCCTGTAAAGGGCTCTTAGCAAGTGAATTATGAGCAGAGAGAAGATCTGGGTCATTTGCCTTTTCATTAGACAGGCTGAATAACGATGTCCGGTGCTGACGCTGCTAATGCAGCTGCACTGCTGATGCACAGTGGCTCTTAAAGCTTGCTAGGACGTTAACAGCTTTCCTGTTCTGACTGACACAAACAAACAAATAAACAAACACTAGAGGCTTTTGTCTGCCGTTGCTTTCATACGACTCATTTTGGCAGAACATACAGCAACTTGCAAAAAATACTCACTCACATTTTGTCACATTACAAACACAAACTTCAAAGTGTTTTGTTGTCTGATGGACCAACACAAAGCAGCACGTGATTATGAAGTGGAGGGAAAATGACGCATGGTTTTCAACACTTCTGCAAGTAAGAGTGTGAAAAGTCTACACCTAGACCCCCCCCCCATATGAAATCCAGTGCTGAGGTCAGAGGTCACCAAGTAAATAAATAGAGACTCATCTGTTAATGTGACCTCAAAAATGAATACCTGGAAGTTTTATTTTTTTTTATCAGAATTGTATCTGTACAATGAAAGTATTCTTCTCTTAGTTAATCAGAGAACTATACATCAGAGTAAAAGAGAAACGTGTATCTTTTCAATATTTAGCATGATGTCACTTTGCTTCAAACCAATTCACGGGACGTCACTTCAGAGAAGATTTTTCTTTTTTTATTTGACCTACAGAATAACTTTAATTAACTCCTTTGACAGGCTTACAGAACAATTATTGTATGAGAGAAACATTTGTTAATCTCGTATTTTAAATCTAATCAACCCTTCAGATCGAGGTGATTCGACTGCTAAGTAGATTGGACTTCTGCTGTTATTAATCTATAAACATATGGCTTAAGTAAAGCTTTATTTAGTGATTTCCACTGAGTGCCATCGCATCATGCTCTGTTTTTTCTTATTTCATTTTAGATTGAGCATCTGTACGGGTTGACAGTGTTTGAAAACTATCTGTACGCCACCAACTCAGACAATGCCAACATGCAGCCTAAGACCAGTGTGATCAGGATCAACCGCTTCAACAGCACAGACTACCAAGTGGTGACCCGAGTGGACAAAGGGGGCGCTCTGCATGTGTACCACCAGAGACGTCAGCCTCCAGGTGCTCGTGAACGCTAACGCTGCCGCATATTTTGTCAGTCGTTATCCACTACAACAGCCCCCTCACGTCTTATTTCGCCCTCCCCTGGTTTCCAGTGCGCAGCCACGCGTGCGAGGTGGATCAGCTTGGGAAGGCCGGAGGCTGCTCCGACCTCTGTCTCCTGGGAAACGGACACAAGACCCGGACGTGCCGCTGCCGCTCTGGATTCAGTCTAGGCAGTGATGGGAAGTCCTGCAAGAGTAAGTGAGACTCCAGTTTGAGTAAGTCAGAGGTCGAGTTAAAGTCAACAATCACTTAACTGTCTGCTGACTCAGACTTTTACCCAGAATGCCCTCATTCTGATGCTGCGAGGCTTGAGGAGCAGTAGAGTCGTTTCCTACAGATACTCTCATGAGAAGTTCTTAGTTTTGCCGTGGCTTCAGTTCAGCATTTTAGCTGAAATTTTGGAAAAGTTAAAGTAATCCAATATCTTTATATATTTTGGATTATAACTAAATCATCTTAGGTAATTGCATTTTTTTCCTCCCAAGTATTAGACTTTACTCACTCTTCTGATGTCTACAAAACGTCTCCTTCCCTCCTCCTTTTCCTTTTTTCTTGTGTCCTTCATTCCTCCATTCTTCCTTTGTCGTTCCTTTTTCCACTTTGTTTCCCTCTTTTCAACTTGTCTTTCTCTCTTTGTGTAATTTCTGTTTCTTATACCGTCTTGTTTTCCTTCCTAGTGACATCCTACCCAACCTATTTAGTTCTCTTTCCTTCTTTTGTCATTTTGTCTTAGCCTCCTTGTCTCTTATTTCAACCTACTTACTTACTTCCTCCCTTCTCTCCTCCCTACTGCTAGTATTTTATGCTGAATAATTCTATGCTTTAAAGAAATTTAAAAGACTGACAGATATGCAACACTTAATCGAGAATAGAATGGAGAGACTTAAAAATGTGTACAGTCCTCTTCTCTCTAATTGGTCCACCTGGTAAAGATGTAGAAAAAAAAAATCCCTATGTAAAAAATAAGTTGATTTTTATTGCAGCTGCATAATCTCACACTGAAAACCCCAAAAACCTATCCTTTAATTTGAGAACATTTGTTTAGTGGGGAAAATCCCTCATTAAGAAATAATTGAAACATAATGCTGCGGGCCTGTTTCTCTTCTAAAGGCACTTTAATCCTTGATGAAATCTTAGATATTCTAAGAAACGTTGAATTCGAATCGTGTTGGTTCTACAAGAAATCTGAAAATATGTCCTTATGTAGCTGTTCAGCAAGATAATGATAAAAAACTATATGCTCAAATGAATACAAAAATAGTTCAGAAGAAACAAAACATCTTCAGACAAAAATATTTTTTCTTTTAAAGTCCATAATATGACTGCTAATAATAGTGGAGAACAAATAAATAGCCACATGTCCTCAAGTTTAAAACCTATCAGCATTTATTTCTCACATCAACGGCGCTGTAATGTATTTATTTCTTTTCTAACTAACTAATGCTGTTCAGCAGATCTTTGGCGGCTCGAAGGACTTATGATATTTTTGCATGTAGGCAAATATGTGGCTTGAGCTCAGAATGAAATACAAACTATGGATCCGTTGAAAATCAGCTTTGTTAACTCGAAACAACGTTGAGCTTGGATGAAGGTTGTTTACAGGTTCTCTGTTGAAAGAACAGAATTAGCTCTAATTTCCACTTGGAGCTGTTGGCTGTGTTCAGAAAGATGTTTTAGCTTTTCATGCAGCATTAGCAGCTTTATTAATCTGCCTACTCTTAAATCCACAGAACTGATTTAACCAAGGGCAACCCATTATCTTTCCAATTTGGCGCTGCTTGCAAATCTTAACTCTTTTAGTTCATTTGTGTTGTGACGGTTCTGGGGGGAACTACTGCTTTTTTTACGTTTGGTGTCAGATAAATAACTGTGTCAGTTTTAAGCCGCGCTTGTCTTGTTTTGCTGCAGAGCCTGAACACGAACTCTTCCTGGTCTACGGTAAAGGCCGCCCGGGTGTCATCAGGGGGATGGATATAAAGGCGAAGGTACCAGACGAGTACATGATCCCGATCGAGAACCTGATGAACCCCAGAGCTCTCGACTTCCATGCAGAGAGCGAGTTCATTTACTTTGCCGACGCCACAAGCTACATCATTGGGCGACAGAAGATTGATGGGACAGAGAGGGACACTATCCTGAAAGAAGGTATAACTAAGTTAAGACTGAAATATTTGTGCAGAGGATTTTACAGTCCATGTAGAAGAAAAATATTTAAATTTAATGGGGAGACTTATTCCAGTGCGATGACATTTGCGGCAGTTTTAGGTTAACTGTGTCTCGCAAACATTGTGTTAGTCTTTTAGGATTGCACGATTTTTGCTGAGGCTGAAATTTACAAAGACGCACAAAAAAATGAATGTTCTTTTACTTTTTCTGAATGCATGATTTAGACTTAGGAATATTGCATTTGACAGAGAGAGTAAATTTACATTACATAATCATCAGAGTTGGAAAAAGACATCGTCTTCAATTTTGCAAACACAGGAAAACAACCAGAAAAATGTTGAAACTGATTTTGGAAATGCCATGTTATATAATGCAGCACTTGATATCTACCCACCTTCAAGTTTGTTCACGTTTGTTTCAGGGATCCACACAGTCGAGGGTATTGCTGTGGACTGGATGGCCGACAATTTGTACTGGACAGATGACGGGCCCAAGAAGACCATTAGCGTAGCTCGGCTGGAAAAGGCTTCGCAGACCCGCAAAACCCTCATCGAGGGGAAAATGACTCATCCTCGTGCCATTGTGGTGGATCCTCTTCACGGGTATGAGTGGACACACACACGCACACACACAAAGCGAGAGATGAGGTGGGCGGGAGAGAGTTTGATGCTTTTGTTCGACTAAAAGAACTTCAATCCAGAGCTGCGGTTGTTTCATCTGTGTGGATCAAGAGAGCTAACTCATGCTCCATCTACAAAAAAAGATTTCTATTATTCATCTTGTTGTTTATCTCATCTTTATATCCCACGGAGAGGCTTTTGTCATGCTTTCAATCTGTGTTTCTGGCTGTTGCTACGATGCATTTTGATGCCCCCCCCACACCCCCCCCTCTTTGATTATTACTCATGGATTTCCTCCACCAGATGATCCACATGCAGGCTTTTCTATCGCTCACCGGATCGAGCCGCACTCAATCTTTGTGTCTTGTCGCTAAAAAGCTACCGGCTTTCTTTTTAAAATCATACATTTGCAAACACGTTGTTTAGATTGGTAGTGACAGCGTGATGTGTGTCCGCACACCTCCCAGGAGAAAGGCCCTCGCTTCCACTAATGCACATAATCCATCAGGCTCAGAAAGAGGAAAGAGGTGGGGGGAGGTTCGTTGAAAGGAAAGGATGAGAAGGAGAGACGGAAGAAAGAAAAATTAAATTTTAATGATTATACCTGCCATGTTCCCAGGAGCTGAGGTGTTTTCAGACCTAGTTAATTGCTTGCAGCCTGTTTTTTTTGTACATCAGTGACTTGATTGACAAGTCCTGGAGTAATTAACTAATTGAGGATTAAATAATGATTTATTATTTTGCCAGTTTGCGCTGTGTAACCATCCCCTTTGGGTGGTCTGGAGATTTTTCTAAAGCTCTACATATGTTTGAAACTCTTTTAAAAAAGACCAGATAAATATTGTATGTCAATCAATCAATCAATCAATCAATGACTGATGCTGTTGTGCTTCATCAGGTGGATGTATTGGACAGACTGGGAGGAGGACCCCAAAGAGAGCAAAAGAGGCAAAATTGAGCGGGCCTGGATGGATGGCTCAAACAGAAACGTCTTCCTGACTAGCAAAACGGTGCTGTGGCCCAACGGGCTCAGTCTGGACATCCCGCAGGGCATCCTCTACTGGGTGGACGCCTACTACGACCGGATCGAGATGGTCTACCTCAACAACTCCGGGCGAAAGGTCTGACCGTCACGTCGTCAGAATGTTCTCACAGTGACGCTCAGTCAGATCAAAACCAGGATTATGTTCCGAAAGACCAACGAACATGGGAGCTGAAATAATCAGAATTGTTCTGCAAACCCAGTGGTTTAAGGTGTTTGTAGCTTTGTTGGGCAAATTTTAATAGATTTAAAATAAGTAACCTAGAAGCAGATGGTTAATATTCTATAAATGAATTTTAAAAAATTAGGTAACATTTACTTAATATCTTTTTAAAATGCTACTTCAGTAGCTTGTTTGTTAACATGATGGCTAGTGAATATAGACATTTGAAACAAAAAAACAAAAAACTTGCTTAGAAAAGTTTTGGTCTTTCTATGGAGGTAATATTGTAGAAATATTGTAATATTTAATCTCTAACTGAGACAGATGGTTTACTTTGTATACACTGAAACTGATTGTGGGATTAGAGTGTAACACATGTAGCTCACATAAACGACACTGAAATGTCACAGTCATTATCCTAGATCATTTCTTAATCTCATGCTATCCTATGCAGACACTCAGTGTTCTCTGATGAAGATCCACTCAACTTTCTACACAGCATGTTTGAAGTAGTTCAAACTGTCCAAAGTATGACCTCACTTCCGATTAATTTGACTGATTCAGCTTTTTAAACTCTTGATGAAATTAATAGAACGACAGCAGAACTTTGAAGTTTCATCATAAGATGGCCGGGCGATCTTTGTGTTTACAAAACAAACAGAAACATGAGTGTTGCTATGGTGAAAAAGTGAAAAAAAAGGGACTTTCCACTGGTGCAGTACAACAGATTACATTTTACACACTTCATCCCAGTATTGACTCTCCATACAAAATCATCTAAATAACAGGACTTGACATGAAAACAAATAATTTCTTGATGTTTAAGTCAAACTTAAATTAGCTTGACGCACTAATAGTTAGTGGTAAGATAAGAACCGGTGTAAGCATAAGTTACTGCTTTTTCTTGATAAACCTTGATATGTTCTTTCTGTAAAAGAGATTGTTGCATGAAGCATTTTCCACCATTAAACATGAATTCCCCTCTGGCTTCTTGTCTGCCATCAGACGGTGTATGAAGGTCAAGAACTGAACCACGCCTTCGGTCTGTGCCATTATAGCCACTTCTTGTTCTGGAACGAGTACCGAAGTGGCAGCATTTACAAACTGGACACCACCACCGGCACCGCCACACTGCTTCGTAACGAGCGCCCGCCCATCTTTGAGATCCGGATGTACGACGCTCAGCAGCAGCAAGGTGCTGGAATTTAGATGTGACATGTAGCGTTAACTTTATGCTGTTGAGTCGCTGCTTATTTATATCCTTTGTTCTGCAGGTTCTAATGCATGTCGTGTGTACAACGGTGGCTGCAGCAGTCTGTGTCTGGCCATACCAGGAGGCAGACAATGTGCCTGTGCAGAAGACCAAATACTGGACCCGACTGACAACACCAGTTGTAAAGGTACAAAAGTTACTAAAAGGAAGGTTTTGTCATGTAAAATAATGTGATAAATTAGTTCAGTGCTTTATACCCCCTTGAGTACAACTTATATCTCTATCACTCAATTGAAATAAAATATATTAAGCTCAACTAAATACGTGTGCAGAAGTGTGTGCACATGCATATAAAAAAATTTTTGTTACAGCACGTCTTGATTTTATTACAGCATTTAGTGTTTTTTGCGTCAAAGTGGATGAGTAAGGCACATGTTGATGTGGTAACAATGACCCACCCTGCTTTAAAAAAATAAAAAATAAAAAAAGTCTCGAATCTATCAGGGCCTCTCCTCTGCGCAGCCTTTTCCAGACCATCAAGTCCAGGTCTGGGTTGTGTACGGATAAAATTTCTGATCTTCTGGTGAAGCAGTTCTGTGCTTGATCTGGATATGTGCTTTTGTTTGTTGTTGTCATGCTGAAAGATGCCAATAGAGAGGTGGCAGCAACTCTCTACAAACTGTGCGTAGAAAACTTATTCAAATTCAACTGGGGTAAAAAAAAAAAGTCATATTTTTTAGCTTGCTCTTTTGCACCCCCCAATTCTGATGCTGTCCACATGGCCCATATGTAACACCTCCGCTCCCCTTAATGCTTCAGAAGGCTGATGCAGTCCATGACTTTGGCTTAAAGATGCAACTAAAAAAATGTAAGGCAAAAAACCAAACTGGAACAGCTGAACTTTATTTGAGGTTAATAAAGGATTCTTAAGGTAACGGTAGGTACGTGCTGACTCTTATATCATTGAACAGGATTCTTGAAACGGTGGTTATTTCTGAGCACAACCACATCCAATGCTACGAGGTCTGCACGCATTTTAATATTCTCCTTAAAAGATTTTAAGTGTGCTCTGCGAATGAAACGTAAATGTTATGCAACACAAAAGATTCTGAAGTGATTTATTATGGTCTCATTTTTTCACAGCACAATGACTTGACATTTTAATTTATTGGTGGGTCGATGTTGTACGTCCAGAATTGGCACAAACATCTGTGATTGTGCGAGGGCTTGAAGAGTGCTTTGCTCAACTGCAGGGTGAAAATAATCAGACAATGATTAGGACTGTTTGCTCAGAGTTGAATGCACAATATACAACAACAATGACAGCTGCATATTGTAAAAGAATAAAACATGATGCTCTTTGTGACGGTATCCAACAGATTAACGGTGATAGCCCAAGTGTTCCCCGTCTGTATGATGATTTATTTGCAATTACAGTACAGCTACTGGTTTGTGGCAAGTTTGACAAATGGATATGGATGAGGTTTTTTACTTCCACAATTCTTTTAATGGGTAGAATGCAAAACTGCATCCTGGCAATGTTTAACTTGCAGTTTCTCCTTTTTTCCCAGCCAACCCGTCTTACGTTCCCCCTCCTCAATGCCAGCCGGGGGAGTTTGCCTGCAAGAACAATCGCTGCATCCAGGAGCGCTGGAAATGCGACGGGGACAACGACTGTCTGGACAACAGCGATGAGACTCTAGAGTTATGCCGTGAGTCAACACACGCCAGGTCCTAACAAGCAAAGGGGTGCACGGTGTGTGCTGCTGTCCAAGGAGGAATAAAGCAATGTCTGCGGATCTGGGAAAGCTTTGTTTCCGTGTGGTCGAAAGTCCAGCCATGTTTTCTTCAGAGACTGTAACAGTGATCTAAAAATAAGCCTGTTTCCTTTCATTTTGTCTCTCCAGACCAGCACACCTGCCCTGCTGACAGGTTCAAGTGCAAGAACAACCGCTGCATCCCTCTGCGCTGGCTGTGCGACGGGGACAACGACTGTGGCAACGGCGAGGACGAATCCAACACCACCTGCTCAGGTGCCCCAGCACGCTCCGCAGAGCTATTCTAAGCATTTCCTTCTTCAGTTTTCGCCACACTGGACACAACTTCTGCCTCTTTGCGTTTCAGCTCGGACCTGCCCGCCCAACCAGTTCTCCTGTCACAGCGGGCGCTGCATCCCCGCTTCCTGGATGTGCGACCTGGACGATGACTGTGGCGATCGGTCAGATGAACCTGCATCGTGTGGTTGGTTGACATCTCGTATTGTCATACGGTGCTTTGGTGGTGGCGGAATCACGCTTTTGGGATGCTTTCATTGTTTTACTTACTGTATATTACATAAAATCCAATAAAGTTTGTGGCTGTGGCTTAACAAAATGGGTCAAAGGGCATGAATACTATATGAAGTCGCTTTTGATGACTCTAAAGAATGTTTTAACATTTGAATGGATCTTAAACGGTATAAAGTCTAATGGTTTTTGATTTCTGCAGCCTACCCCACCTGCTTCCCCCTCACGCAGTTCACCTGCAACAACGGGCGTTGCATCAACATCAACTGGCGCTGCGACAATGGTTAGTGTCTACTCTTTGCTGCGTTTGCACTCTAGCAGCTCCCTAGCTCCCTTTGTCACAATTTGCCATGCATGTTTCATCACCAGGCCTTTATTTCTTGTGCTTTATGTCATGTCGTGCATTCCGTACATTTTTGTATTTTGGTTTGTGTCGTCCTGTGTCGTGCTGTTCGCCCACTGTGCTGTCTTCCGTTGGTTCTGTCTTTCAGAAAAGGATTGTGACGACGGCTCTGATGAGTTGAATTGTCCAAAGCTGACCGGTTAGTGCATAGATCAGAATGCACCAAAACGGTGATGATGCTAGCCGAAGCTTTCAGACTGACCAGTAAAGGCTTGGAGAGAGAGTCAGGGACGCTTTTCTAACTGAGGTTCAGCCTCAAGCTGAGGTGTTTGTGAACCCAACAGAAACTTAAACTGCTGCCTCTTTTTTTGTTTGTTTTTTTTTTTTTTCATTGATGTGCTACACACAAATTTGATCAATGACTCTATCAAATTTGTGCGCATCAATTGTAAATAGTTGTTTTTTCCCCCATAAGACTTTAAAACTCAGTGGTTTAAAAAGCTGTTTTTATGCTGCAGAGCTCAATCTGTCATCGCTGTGTACATTTTCTTAATGGTGCCTATTCTGATCTATGCAGTTTCTGTCATCACTTTAAAGTCTCATCTTTCACATTCTGCATTGTTTGTTTTCACTTCCACGTGTTAAATGATCTGTTGTTCTTGTTGCCTCATTTGATTCAGAAGCGACTTGCTGCGTTTGTTTTCCAGATAACGACTGTGGGGACAACAGCGATGAGGCTGGGTGCCGGCACTCCTGCTCCAGCACTCAGTTCAAGTGTAACAGCGGCCGCTGCATCCCAGATTACTGGACGTGCGACGGCGATAACGACTGTGGGGACTACAGCGACGAGACCCATGCCAACTGCACTAACACGGGTCTGTGTCTCTATCTGCTGATCTGCTCACGGTCCATTTCATTTGCTCACAGTTCACTTGCTTTAAGAGAGAGTTACAAAGGATTAGCTTGTTCTTGCAGCATTCCGATGTCCTACTTTGTAACATATAAGTCAGTTGTCTATGTAATGTAACATTCTGGCTCATATGGTCTGATGCAGCATTTAAGGATGATCAGAGCTTCCTGTATAGTAGAGGGTAATAAATGTTAGACATGTATTAAAAACCTAAGAAACAACAGCTTTGTGTTAAAGCAATTGCTGTAAAAGGAGGGTTTATTATTTGAAAAAAAAAAAAAAGACTGAGGGATAATGAACTTAACACTTTCTGTTGTCATCTTATATTAGCAGTCGTCGTGGTTATCAGGGATTTCATTACTACAACATTTTTCTCTATGTGTACTTGTTTGAAAATATAGACTCTAAGCAATTACCCTGAGATGTCCAAAAAGTTGACACTTTTCTGTTTATCATGTTTCATGAAAGAAACATGAAGTTAAAAGCTCAATGGGCTCAAATAAAACAACTTTGTTGTAAAACACTCAGCTTTCCTGTTAAAGGCTGAGACCGGTCTCTCTCTCTCTCTCTCTCTCTCTTTCTCTTCTCACCTGAAGGAACTGTACGTTTCCAAGTCAGAAAAAACTGTTTTGTAAAAAATAGTTTAATTGTTCATATTCGTGTTGCCTTTGATTTAATTTTAAACATCTGAAAATTGCTAACTTCAAGGCTTCTGCACATAACATAACTTTTTCACCAGAGTTGTTCTGTTGCTGATGTGTTAAGGTATGCTGTGTTCAATGAACAGGACAAAATTTGATTTTTCAGTATCAGACAAGCTCGTCACCAGTCTAAGCCAATTAGGCTCAAACTTTTGTTCAGTGGTATCTGTCCTGTCTTTACTTCTTTTCCTTGTCAATAGATTTTTGTTTTTGTTAAAGTAATGAGTTTTTTTCCCCCTGCAATTTACATTATTTTAAACATTTTGCATTTTTTCTTGATATTGTTTTTATGTAAGTTTTTCTTAATATTTCAACATTATTCCATGTCATTTTGTGTTTTCAAGATGTTCAAACTTTTCTTTTAAATTTTATTTTGACATCTAAAAATTTGTCATTTTGACATTTTTTTCACCTTTTTCTGCTCAGCTTTCATCTTCCATGTTGTCATGGCTAAACAACAAAAACACTTTCTGTAATTTACTTTGCTTGACTAACTCGTAAACCGAAGCTCATAATTGAACTGTATGGTCATCATTTAGCTTCTTTCCAAAGCAACAGGAGAAGAAACAGACTGACGAAAACATGTTCTGTTTTAGTCAGTCTTCACGCTGCCTTTCTGCCTCATGATTTTGGACTTTGTTTTGCGCTCATCACTGAAAACAAACTTTTTGTTCCCCCACAGCCACACGTCCACCCGGTGGTTGTCACACCGATGAGTTTCAGTGTCGGATGGACGGCCTGTGCATCCCGCTGCGTTGGCGCTGTGACGGTGACACCGACTGCATGGACATGAGCGATGAGAAGAACTGCGAGGGCGTCACACCCATGTGTGATCCAGCTGTCAAGTTTGGTTGCAGAGACTCCGGTGGGGCAGACTCGGAACAAAGATGTCAAGTAAGTTTATGTCAACTTTAAGTTTTTAGCTTCAACCCGACCTTCTCTCCGCAGCTCGCTGCATCAGCAAAGCCTGGGTTTGTGACGGCGACAGCGACTGCGAGGACAACTCGGATGAGGAAAACTGCGAAGCGCTGGTGTGTAAGCTCTCCCACCATGTGTGTGCCAGCAACTCCACCATCTGCCTGCCTGCAGAGAAAATCTGCAATGGCCACGACGACTGCCCAGATGGCTCCGATGAGAAACTCTGCGGTAAGAAAAGAACAGCGTTCGGGCTGAGAGCAGAACATCAAGTACTGCATCTCTGCGTTTTCAGACAGTAATGGCCTCACTTCTTCGCTGTGCAGATCTGTGCTCCATGAACAACGGCGACTGCAGCCATAACTGCACGGTGGCTCCCGGCGAGGGCATGATCTGCTCCTGTCCGCTGGGCATGGAGCTGGGCTCCGACAACAAGACGTGTCAGATCCAGAGTTTCTGCGCCAAGCACCTGAAGTGCAGTCAGCGCTGCGAACAGGACAAGTTCAGTGTGAAGTGCTCCTGTTACGACGGCTGGGAACTGGAGCCCGATATGGAGAACTGCAAGAGCAAAGGTGACGGAGCCAATCAAAGAGAACAGCCTGACAGTGGGTTGGGTATAAATGATTTATATCAGAAATAAACCATAACATTCAGCCAGTTTACCTTTATTGGCCCTTATGGTAAAAATATGTGGAAGCCCTAAAATGAATTCAACTTTTACCGCAGTTCCATAATCTCACATTGAAAACGTCATAGAGAAATCAACCTTTAATTCAAGTGTATCGACTTCTTTAGAGAAAAAAAACGTGTATTCCTATTGGCAAGGCAAGTGTTTCCCTAACAGAAGCAGCTTTTTTAAATTTATTATCCAATTTTTAAGTCAACGAATGCCTAGGAACGTCTAAAAAGTAATGCGTGCCTACCTGTTTCATTGAGGTATGAAGCTTTTCAAACACGGCTGAGCAACGACCGTATTTATGTTACAGTCACACATGAAAAGTATGGAATAGAAAGTGAATAAAATCTCCAAAGTTTACTGTTTGAGAACTGCAGGTAGGAGTTGCGTACTGAGGAAAAGTCGATGTCAATAACAGTTAACGTCACTTTATAGCTACAAGAGCTGCAGAAACGTTTACAGCAAGCAATATAGATGGTAAACAAGAAAGTATTAAGACTATGAAGTTCATTAAAAGCATAAAAGTTGAAAACAAATTGATGTTATCGATTTAAATAGAAAGCAATGAGTCTTTTAGAGTTTCTTGATGTGATCGATACTCAGCACACTTATTATTAGGACAGGTAGGTTGTTCCAGAGAACAGGAGGAGCTACTATAAATGCACAATCACGTCTGCTTTTTAATTTAGATCTGGGAACACCAAGGAACATTTGGTTATCTTAAGGTTTCCTGATATGCTGTATATAAAAGGTCTCTCTGGTAACCATTACAAGCCATTTACATGCCACTTGTTGGTTGGGTTGGTTGGTTGTCTGTCGTACCATCTGTATAACGTCAACTGTAAATTAAAAGCTAGTAAAACTCTTACTTTAACTGTGGGATTTGGTGAAATAGGACTAGTCAAGTGAAGATTATTTATAGCACATTTCAGCAGCCAGGCAGTTCAAAGTGGTTGACACCATAAAAACATAACACCGTAACTTATTAAACAAGCAATAACCATTGAGTTTTGTCAGATGCCACCATTAAAATAATCAAGCAAATACACATCAAATATGTTGGTCAACGTTTCAGTTAAGTATTAAAGTCAGCTCTACACAGGTTAGGATTTTAGCCTTGATTGAAGGGAATTCAGTGTTCAGGCATTTTTGCATTTTCCTGGAAGTTTGTTCCAGATTAGTGGAGCATTGAAACTGAATGCTGCTTGGTTCTGGTTCTGAGGATGCAGAGCAGACTGAAACCAGAAGATCTGAGTGCTCTGAAGGGTTGATACAACAACAAGAGTTCATGTGTTTTGGTGCTAAGGAGCTCAGTGATTTATAAACTAACAAAAACACTTTATTATCTGAGCTGCAGGGAGAATGGTGTACAGACTTCAGACCTGGTGTGATGTCTCTAGTGAAAACATGAGCAGCAGCGTTCTGGATCAGCTGCAGCTGTCTGATTGTTTTTTTTTTAGATTACGTAATATTGTTCTCTTTGAATGGTAAATGATTAACATTTACCATACTCACTGCTCAGTATGGTGGAGGACCTGTGTTGCTGTGGGCTTGTTTCTCTTTCAACAGTTCTGGAAGCATTTTTTAAAGTGCTTATAAGCTTTTTGAAACACCAAAACAAATCTTGTATGCTAAGTCAGAAAACAAAGAATGGGTCTTCAAAGAGAAATACCATGCTTCAGCCTTACAAATATTAGAAGAACTATATGTGTTGTACTAATACTTAAAGGTACTTGTATGAAGTCTTAACTGCATGAGTGGTAATAATTTTGAATGTGCCATATTTAAAGACTTGATGTTTGAGAGTGAGGTTATTAATAAAAATGGGATGAAGTTACAGGACACACAACTGTAGCAAGAACATGTGTAGTTGTTGGAGATCCAATTGGCCCAAAATGTTGTACTCTATTGGAGTGAAACACAAAGCAATAAAAAGAAAGAGAAATAGAGGTTATCTGCTCTCAGCACAAATTTATGATGGATCAGAAGGTTGCCCAAGAGACCATAAATATTCTACGATTTTAAAAAAATTTAATGAAAATTATTTTCCGCAAATGGTCGTAAAAAATCAAAAGCTGCAGCGGATTTTATCGAAGTCATCGGAAGGTCAGGTTGTGAGGAACAGAGTACTCTGAAACAGCTCTGAGTTTTATCAGCCACATAAAAAGAACATGCTGTATTTATCTCCCTGCAGCAACTACCCAAGAAGGAAACTTTATCCTGCCGCTCCTCACCTGCCGGTTTTAGAGGCGAGCCAGCTGCATGTTGTCGTTCGTCCCGCAGCCTGTCTAGCTGCCTGTTTGCTCCAGATAACTGCTGTCTAATTTACTCACCATTTTCATTACACAGGATTAAAGCAGCTTTCAGCATAGCCCCTCTTTACAGGGAGAGTCACCCAGAGCAGCGTTACACGGCTGCCACCTCCAATACTCTGCACAGCAGAGCTCTTCTTCTTTGCTCAGAGTAAATTTACTCAAGTAGAAGCCTTAAGATTTAAAATCCCTTTTTACAATAGTGGCCTGGCCAAAACAGACGGCCTCTCAGATGGGCAAGACATTATGAGCACAAACGTCTCCTTCATGGACTTACTTCACTTTGTGCTTTTTTTTGTCACACAAAGGTTTCAGTTCCTTAAAAATGTTTTCTTTTAGGCAAAGATGACCTCAGTAAGTACAGAATAATTTCCCTCTCTTGTTAAGTCATAATTTAAGTTCAGTTTCACTTGTCACTGAAGACTGAAGTATGAAGAAATCACTTGGCTAGAACCTGTTTGGCAACATGAAGTAAGAAAAAGTATCTTAATGAAGCAACACAGTAGATGCAAACTTAAAGAAATTTAAGAACAGGTCGGAAACATTTCAATCACTACACTGAGACTGTCCCCCATTTGAATAAAATGAGGGAGATTTTATGTCTAGTTCTGTCATTAATGTCCAACGTCTCACTTAGATCACTTAAAGTCAGTTCACAATTCAACAATAAAAAAGAAACTTGACCAAAAACCATTGCTTACCTAAACTGACTAAATGGTATGAGGTTGTTTTCCCTCTTCAGAACCTCAAAGAGTCACTACAGCTGATGAAGCCATAAATTTTACTCTCTAGACTAAAATAAAATTGTAGAAAAGCTCAAACACTGTTTTACTACGCATCAGGACAACAATCTGAAGTACACCAGTAAATCCAGCACTGAATGGCTCAAAACAAAATTGAAGGATTTGGAGTGTCCCAGTCAGATTGCAGACTTGCATTATGTTGCGATTATTTGACAACATCTTGAACACAAGAGTCATGCTTGACAACCACCCCCTGGGACTGAATTTTTTAACAGTTTTGAAAAAAAAAAAAAAAAAAGATTGGGCCAAAGTCCAAGAGTGGCATAAATAAGGCGTAGAGGACTTTTTCTTTTTTTTTTTTTTTAGTTTGTAGAGTTTTTAGAATAAGAACAGGAGAGTCATTGCCTAAAAGAGTGTCAATCATCTTAGGAGAATAAATTCAGCTGTAATCAATTTCATGAGATCTTTTCTTTCTGTGTTTTCACAGATCCATTCAAACCATTTATTATCTTCTCAAACCGCCATGAAATCCGGCGCATTGATCTGAACAAGGGGGAGTTCAGTGTCCTGGTGCCTGGCCTCAGAAACACCATCGCCCTGGATTTCCATCTTAACCAGAGTTCCCTTTACTGGACTGACGTAGTGGAGGATAAGATCTATCGTGGGAAGTTGTCTGAGAATGGAGGTAACGTTTTTACACACACACACACATATATATATATATATATATATATATATATATATATATATATATATATATATATATATATATATATCTTTTATATATGTTATATATATATAGATT